TAATCTGAATAAATCTCCATGGGACTTGTATCGCCGAATTTGTCATCTACCCCTCCATCTCCCGATTCACTTTCTCGTGAAATCGAACCCCCACAGCGCCAAAAACAAAATAGAAAATCTCCGAATCCTCTCCACACGTCACAACAATTGTGGTGGAGGACGCGAGAGAAAAAGAGGCAAAGCTACACATTCGAACTCTATAGCCGATAGGCAAAACATGGAAAACGACAGCCTCATGCGTATCGTTTAATCTGGATCTTTCCTCGAAGAAAATCCGAGAGCGAGAGGGGACAGCACGATGACATGAGCAGATAAGCCAAACAGTTAATGCAAGGAAAACGACACTTCGAGCCACGAATTCAATGCGTTCAAACACATCGGACGCAGCTCTTTTGACCGACTTGCATCAGCATCGCGATATGAATACCCTTCCTTCTGAGCTCCCGGGACCAAAGTGCACGTCAAGAAATGAAAAATCCCATGCTAAGTGTTTTGGTCCGGCTTTCGAATGTCAGGGAAAGTATTTATTGACATTCCCACTATAATTTCATGGAAAATAGTTGTTTTATTTTTCAAAGCAGTTATGGGAAAATTCTGCATCACTCCAGCTGATTGTGGATGTCGATATATCTAATATATTTATTTCTTTCGAATATTTGGTGAAGCGTAGAATTAAATGAGATTTCGATTTAGGTTAAACATGAATTTTATAAGAAAAAGATATTGAGAGTACAAGTCATTCGAAAAATACTCGATAGCGTGTACTCGTTGGACTTGATATTAATATTTGTCTGTGCATTTTATTTTGGAGGGTCTTGTGGTTGCCCAGTGTGAAGACTTTAATTGTGCTTTGGAAATAGCGAAGCTATTATTTAGTGAAGTTGATTGGCTCTTAACAATTAGGATTTTGTAAAAGGGCTTTGTTAAAGAATACCCTTAAGGCGCTCTTTAAGCATGTTTACAAAAGAGATATACGATACTTAAAGGATTATTTATGCTTATCTCAAGAATACTCAACACATTTAGAATTATCAAAACTTACAATATTTCCTCGTTGGATTAGTTAGCAAGTGCCTTGAGGGCACTTTTCAAATAATATTTTTTTTAACTAGTGCCGTGGTGCACTTGTCAAGCAAGTAATTAAAGAAAATGTACAGATTCAATGCAAAGCTAGTGCTCTTGTCCATGCTTCACATGGGTTCTTATCTTTAAATTTATTTAAATATTTATTTATAACAAGAAAACTCATATTACACTTTTACACCTTCAAATTCGATGAGCATGATAATGGAGTCTATGGCGTTGAATGTAGACGAATCGATTGTTATCGTGTATATCTAGATCAAGATATAGTTGGACACTTTCATATATTTTTCTCTACTTCATAAGTACAAAATCAATTTCGTTGCATGTATGAAAATAATAACATAATTAAATATCTGTGTGCACATTGAGATTTCAAAATATTTTCCTTTAATTTTCACTTTCTTGGCGAAGCTCTTTAGATTTTGTTTGAAAAGGAAAAGATTGATTCCATTAAATTTAGTGTATTTAATATCTAGAAGTCTATTTTACTATAATTTATGTAGATTCTGAGGTTTTGTGTAATTACATTTGAAAACCCTAATGCATATGCTGAGGGAGAGAGTACTAGTGAGATGTTTAGAACTTGAATGAATATGCTTACTATTTATAATCACTTCAATTAGTAAGGGAGTTTGCTAAAAAAATGCCTCGGACCACTCGTTAATTAACCAAATAAAAATTATTATAATTTTCAATGCACTAGTTGTCTTCATGGTATCGTGCAATTAATATTTCACAACTCAAATATTTTATCATCGAGCATATCTAACAAGTGCCCCAAGAATACTCATTAACAAAACACACTATTAAAAAGGGAGCTATCATACCTTTACATAGTTTGAAGACTTGATCAGGATGAGTGCATTAACACAAGAAAGACAATGCTTTGAAAACCGTAAAACTTTCCTTAATTGTTACTCAACAAGTATAACAAGCACGGCGGAGTCACACGTTAATAAGATTGGAATTCTTATCTATGATTTTTTCTTTTTTGCTAATGTCCTTGTCTATGATTGGAATTCTCTACTGTATTACTGACTAAGTAGTGGGTCTTGCTCTCTCCTCAAATGCAGAGAAATTGGGAAGAGGAGGCAAATAACAAACGAACAAAAAGAAATAAAAGAGAAAACCGTTGCTGTCTAGTTTAGTTTGTCAACAATAGTCTCTGTCTTGGGAACTAGAAAAGGAAAGCAAAGAAAAACGAAGAGCCCTGGCGTGTCCGTGTGTGTGTGGTTTGGTCGGTGTTGGGGCTTGCGAAATCCCAGGATTTCCATCAAGATTTGTGGGACACAACGTTGTCATCTTCCTCACTGTTTCTCCCTCCTAGGGTTCCTGTTCACTCTCTCCCACCACTAGTCACGAAGCTGTACAGCACTTGAGGCCCGTTTGGCAACAAACAGTGAAAGTTTCTGTTCTTTTGTTTTCAGAATCAGTTTTAGAATATAAATCCGTTTGGTAAACTTTTGTTCCCGAGCACAAATTTGCAAAAAATTGTTCCTAGAATCAATTTTGGAACAGTATCAATAAGTAAAAAAAAAGTAGCTTCTTGATTCTGGAAACAAAAATCAGAATTGAAAAAGAAAATTTTTTTTTCTTCTTCTTTCCTATTCTTTCTGTTCTTCTTCTTCTTCATTCTTTTTGTCTAGCCGGCCACCGGCAAGGGCTGGTGAGGGCATCGCGGCCCTCGCTGACCACAGGCGGGGGTCCCCCTCATCGAATCCGACGAGGGTTGGACCCTCGCGGCCTAGGCGAGGGTCACCAGCCATGGCTTGGGCGAGGGTCGCCCTCGCCGGCCTTTTCTAGCCCTCGCCCGAGCCAGCGAGGGCCGCCCTCGAGGCTCGCGGCCTGGGAAAGGGCGGCGACAAAAACCCATCCCTTGCCAAATCCGATGAAGGCGGCCCTCGGGTGCTCGCGCTCGGGCGAGGCGGCGGCAAAACCATCCCTCGCCAAACTGGGATGAAGGCGCTCCTCATAAAGCCCGTGCAAGGGTCAAAAAGGCCTAGCGACGAGGCCATGGCCAAGAAGGAGGAAAAGAAAAAAAAGAAAAATTAAAATATTTAAAAATATTATTAAAATATTATTAATAAAAAGAAATTCTGTGTCATTACCAAACGCATTTCTGTTCTTTTTTTATTGCAAGAATGGAAATTTTGGGTCATTACCTAACGGCTTCAAATGTTCAGAATCAGTTCCCCGGCACAGAATTAAAAAGAATCATTTCTGAGCAGAATCAGTTTACAGACATAGGATCGTTGCCATGCGCACCCTAACTCGACCCACCCCCTGCCTTCCCCTTTCCCAATCTCATCACTTCCCATGAAAATCCCAAGAAAAACGAGGCTGAACTGTTTCTTGCTCTTTTGAATTGTATGGCATGGGTTAGCAATCTTTCCCTTTCATGTGTTCTTTGGGTAGAATACCATACATTCTTTGACAAGACCTACAAAGTTTGGTGAATTGGTAATAAATAAAAACATTCCTGAAAGGGTTTTGTTTACGTATGGGTTGGCTTCATGGCACCACAACTCTTCTATTAGAGACACCGAACCAAGGTTAACCCTAATGAAGGCGGGGTTTGCTCAATCTGAACTCGGTTTATTGGAAATTTCTGGCAGCAGGTGAAAAAAAAGGGGCCATTACATATAAGATTTATTTTCGATGAGAAATACATGCATGCATATTTACATATACATCCAAAAGAGGGGAGTATTTTTCTTGGGTCCATATTATTATTTTTGTTTAAAAGTTGGAAGAGTTTGTATGGAAATGCACTTCTTCCATTCTTTTGTCGATTATTGCCCCTCACTTTTTCTCAAATCTGAATAAGTTGAAAAATCAATAATATTTCGTTTGTTTCGCAAAAAATAAATAATTTGAAAAATACTTTCCTAAAAATGATTTATTGTATCGCTTAATATAATTAGTCAATAAAAAATATTTTCATTCTCAACAATAATTTATGTCTAAATATGAATAAAATATTTTTCAAATCATTCATTTTTCACGGCACAAATGGAGCCTAATGAATGATTTTGAATTTTTTTCCAAAAAATAATCGTTAATATCAATTAAAATAATTAGTCAATGGAAATGTTTTCGTTACCAACAATGAAAATATTTTTGATTTATTCTTTTTGTAAACAATCGTTTTTAAAAAAGTATTTTTAAATCATTCATTTTTCGCGGAACAAATACACATAAGTTAATTTACATTTCCTTACACATCATTTCTCTAAGTCCTCTCTTTAATACGCAATCTATCAACCACAAACTAACTAAAATTTCAAATTACAAAGCAAAAGAAAGTGTAGATCAAATTTACTTTTCATCTATTTTTCCAACATTCCCATTAATTGAAAGATAAATTCATGTCCTGATTTCTAGTTGACGTCCGATTCTCTCTTCAACAAATTCTGTTCAATTCAATCAAAATATCCCAAAAGCTGTACAACCTACCACGACTAGACGAAATCTTAGGACCCTGACAAACATGCTGAAGAAAATCATGAGGCAAGGAAAATCCTAAGAAAATTTGTATTTTACGGCATTGCAAATTCATAAGGGGCACCAGAAGAGAAACGAGATTCCTCAAAAATAGCCAGATATACATATCTTCTAATTAACACTGAAATGGGATAACAAAAAGGCAATGACCAAGTTCTGTCACTAAACTATTACTTGCTGTAACCTCTCTACATGAAATTAAAATGAAATAGAAAAAAAAAGCCATTGAAGAACTTATATAAGTTCAGACAGAAACCACCTCCTTGACCAGAAAGAGAGAGCACTCTCTCAACAAAATTGGGAGACGTTCTGCCACTAATTCCCTGAAAATTTCCATTCCTTTTCACCTAAGAAGTAATGAAAGTCAATCAGCCAAATATACCATCCCTTTGACCATACCCCCAATGTTTTCAATATAGAGGAGCCCTATGAGGAGTCTTCTTCCTCCGGTTCATCAGGCTCGCCGAAGCCGGTTCGACCGGCCTGCAAGGGCTGTTGCAAACCAGCACGCTGGTCCGTTTCTTCCTCACTACAAAGTGGGTGGCGGCGGTGCAGGCAAGGGCCCTGCACCCGACCCCGCCGGACCCTCCGGATCCCCTGGAGTTGGTCCGGTTCGAGCCGGCTGGCTCGAGGACCGAGTCGGGGGTCATGAGGCCGTCGTCCAGGCTCGGTTCAGACAAGGGCAAGAAGTTGCACTCCAGGAGATACTTGGAGAGCCCACCTTCTGTCCTAATGAGGTAGTCAATCTGGACGCAGAAAAAAAAAACAGAAGTTAACTAGCGAGAGACTAGAGAACAAAAAAGGGAAAATAATTAGATTCTTGACAAAACCCGGATGAATTTACTCAGCTTAGGTTGCCAAAATTCCAATAATTTGGAGAGTTGTGGGGAAACCCGAGAACCCAATTCAATTGAAGTGCTAATATAAGCAAGAAAAATGATCAAGAGTAAAAAGAGAGACTAGAAACCCTAGAGAAGAACAAAGAACCAAGAAGTCGCTATTGGGGTAATTAATAAACAGAAGCAGAGCTTTAGTGGAGGTTTCATCAGCTTCATTAACTCCATAGTTATCACTATCAGCTTTTATTTTCATTTATTTCATTTTGAAGTACCTTACAATAAAGAGAACAGAAGAGAAAAGGGTCTTGGAGGCTCGTTTCGCAAGTGCTGCAAGTGTTACCGGAGCCTCTGCACTGCTTCGCCTGTGGCCTCTGGTTCAAAAATACCACTTTTGCACTGTTTGTTATGTATGCCTGCAAAATCAAGAAACCCCAAAAAAATAAAGTAAGTGGAAAAGAAACCTTAAAGGACTCCTTGAAAATGAAACATGGTGTTCTTTTTTATAAAAAGAAAACACACAGACCCATGTCCTTGTGCTTCCCTTGTTAGTATAATTTAATCTAACTATCCATTTGAAATAGAAGAGGCCATATCTGATGTCCTGTGAGACCAAGAAACAATTTACTCTTATAGAGTACTAAGAATCCAACAGGAGAGATTATACACTCCAGCGAGCCATGAAACATCGCCAGGACAGAATAGAGGCAAAGCCCACAATTCAGAGAGAGAGAGGGTGGGGTGGTGAAAGATCAAAGAATTCGAATTATTCTTGCTCTCTTTGCACTCACTTGGACATAAGCACAGTCGATCAGCTTCGCAGCATCGTCCAGCCGGATGACATCGTGGTACACGTACCTCCTTATCTGAGAATCAATCAAACCGTTTCACACCTTCTCTAATCAGACCCAGAAATGAAAGTGTGTGTGTGAGAGAGAGAGAGAGAGGACCAACCTGCAAGAGGCGGTGGGAGCGATGGAAAGAGAAGCAGTGAGGGCACAAGCTGGTGCTGCAGTCCAAGCAGAAGATGTTCATCTCGTTCTTGCGGACCTCCTCGTGAATTATGCAGGCGTTGAAGAACTTCTCCGTCAGCAGCGCCCGTAGCCACGTCGGAAGCTGCTGCTGGTGCGCTTGACCCACAACCCACACATTGTTCAAAGAACAAGTTCCCATTTTTTTGAACCTAAATCCTACCCTGCGTACCTTAGAACCTGAAATCCCACTAGTCAAGTTCTCAGTTTCTAAAGTAGAACCTGAAACCATGCTCACTCCTACTTGTGGGCATTCATGGGAACCTTCCGGTGAGTGAAATGAGTTCTTAAAGTGTAAGAAATTGTTAGGGCGTGATTCATACTCCCCATAGACAAGAAGGCATAGGGGTTACTAATTTAAGGGTGAATAAGGATAAAATCTTGTGTCACGATTTTCTTTTCTCGTCTATTTACTCTCTATTTTATTGTATTTGTGTGTCTAATCTTAAGAGAAATCCCCATGCACAGTGCAATGAAGCAATTATTTACCTTCATGGCCATATACTTATAAACACAGAATTTGTTATAAAGAGTTCACCAAGGTTCATATTCTTATTTTACGATACATAATTTAAATGATATTTTAATCCCCAAGAGATAACTTTATTGATAAAAAATACTCTTAAAGTCGAAGGAAACTATGGAAGGGTTTATCTAGAAATTCTTCTTAGTAAGGGCAAAATTTGATCAATGATTATTGTAAAAATTAAAATTATGTTCTTACACCTAACGTAATATATGGTAATATTAACATTGCGTAAATCTTCCTTATCCGTAGCAACTATGTTCTCATGGTTTTCAAATTATGCATTAGTTTTTATCGGTTTGGGGGGGCAAAGTGAATTGGAAATATCTAGTAGTGACTTAGGGTACGTTTAGTAACGTTTCTGTTTCTTTGTTTTTCTGTTTTTTTGTTCCTCGGAACAGAAAAAGAACAGAAATCCGTATAGTAAAAAAAATCTATTTTTTTGTTTCAACAAAAAAGTGTTCCGAAATAGATTTGGAACAAAACAAGAAGCAAAAAAATATGCTTCTTGTTTCGGAACAAGAAAAAGAAACGATTTTTTTTTCTAGAATTCTCCAAAAATAAGAAACAATCCATCGGCCGCAACCCGCCCACCGCTAACTCTCGCCGTCCTTCGCCGCCACCTACCGCCCGCCTTACGCCGCCGCCGCCCGCTGGCCAACGCTTGCCGGCCGCCTGCCGGCCGCCACTCGACGCCGGCCGCCTCCCCTAACCACCCGATGCCGGCAATCACCTACCACCGGTCGCCGCGTCCTCCGCGCCGTCGGCCACCCACCACCGGCCACCATCCTCCTTCGCCGACCATTGTGCTCCACCGCCCGACGCCGGCCACCACCCGGCCCAGGCCGCCCTCGGCCGCCTGGCCACCACCCGGTCTTGGCCGCCTCGTCCGCCGACCACCTCCCGCCTCCGGCCACCCGACGCCGGCGGTCACCCACCATCGGCCGCCATTCTTCGCCACCGCCGCCGTGCTCCATCGACCGATGATGGCCACCCTCCGTCGCCAACCACCTCCCGCCGCCCTCGCCGCCGCCACCGCCGCCCGACGCCACCGTGCTCCGCCGCCGACCGCCGTGCTCCACTGCCTCCCACCACCGGCCGCCATCCTCTCGCCGCCGACCACCGTCCTCCGCCCCCACCGCCGCCCGCCGTCCTCCGCCGTAGCCTAAGGGAGAAACTCGTCCATGGAATAGAAATGAATCATTCGCGCCCTAAACGCGTTTCTATTCTTTTTCTATTCCAGGAATAAAAATTTTGTGCAGTTACTAAACGCTATTTTTTGCTCAAAAACTATTCCAAGAAATAGAAATAGAAAAAGAAAAAACTTTTTCTGATCAAAAATTGTTTCTGGGAACAGAAACGTTGCTATGCAGACCCTTAAGCGTACATTTCTTAGAAATCTCGTGGAGGCAAAAAAATATTTTTTAGCCCAAAATAAGTTAGCATTAAGTTAGAAACCTTGGAATTATGTAAAGCATTAGGAAAATTCCAAGGCGCCTAACTTTCCATTTCTCAAGATAAACAGGACCAACAATCCATGGACAAAATATGAATACCAACACTAACTCTAAAATAAAAATATAATGCGGAGTACTCAATAATTATATAAAATTTACCAAAAAAGACACAACATGGAACATTCATTTAAGCATATAAGCAAGTTCCAAGACACCCAACTTTTCAATTTTCAAGACAAAAACTGATTGGTCTCTGGCATTTTGGTCATAAGTTTTTCCTAGAAGACTTCAAATTGCATGGAACTTGATGCATTACGAACCAGACACAAAGAGCTTTCCAACTAGATATTACGAAACCATATTGAACCAAATAAACTTTTCTAAAACATGAGAAAACAATTTACAATTACAATTGTGTAACTTAGCCTAGACTAATCTAACATCAGTTGTTGGATGCGGCCCAATGCTCATCATAATGTCAGTGGAAGAGCCAGAGGTTAAAGACTAAAAATGTTCTGGACATGCCTCATGAGCAAAGCATGGTTCATAATCCACGTTATTTGGGAGGATCATTGTGGTTATGGACAAGAAATGTGAGATATTAATTCCTAGTTTGGTGACTTCATTGACTTACTTTATCGGAAAGAGGTTTAGAAATATCAGCAAAGAAATCAAGAAAACCCTAACGATTTGGACAAATCACGGCACGAAATGTTTATCCAGAACATGTTTATGCAAGGCGATCCATGCATTCACAAGTAGATATGTAATGGTAAAGAAAAACGCGGATTTCTTTGGGCAATGTTGCACTGAACATTGTTTAGAAGATCAGAAATTTTAGGTTCGAGAGGTAATTCAGGACATGGGAATATCTACTATTCATATCCAAAAATGGGTCATACAAGGCTTTGGAGAGGGTAGACAAGATGAGCTAGTATTATTGTACTGGTCAAGGATGAAAGAGAGGGAAAAAGAAAGCACCTGAGAACTAGAAAGAAAGAAGAAGGCAAATCCTAGGAAAAAACCCTAATGCACTTGTATGATTATCCAATTTATCCTGTTGATTGGCGTCCCATCTCGAGTAGATTACATTGAGAGTTGGGATGTAAGTAGGATAAGATAAAATTATCCCACCTGTGGCGTGAGATTTTTGTATCATATCTAGAGAGGATGTCGAAATTTGGAAAATGCAAGAACAAAACAGGATATAAAAGGAGAAAAGCTAAGCGTTGAAGGAGTTGAGACGAAAGAACGGTAACTGTCGTGTGAGATCTGATCACCTTATCAATGGGCGGGCATGCTGCGCTCAACAATCGGTGACTGCTATATGAGATCTTACCTCTACAACTTGTCAGTAAACATGATCAATGGGCAGGCATCCCAAGCCGGCTGATAGCTTGGATTTTTTAGGATTGTTGGGCAAGTTTGGGCAAAAATTCCAAGCCAGTATATATATTTATATATATGTGTGTATGTATGTATGTGTGTATATATATATGTATATATGTATATATGTATGTATTAAAGAGATTATAAGATATGCTTTAGTAATTGTTTTGTTTTGATAATTAATATTTATAAATACTAACAGAATAAATAGGCAAACATTTCTTATATAGTTGAGAAAAATAGTATAAAATTCACTGGTGAAGTAGTAAATTAGAGTAACACAAAACCCTAAAAATATTTTTCATTTGTTTTCCATTTCTATTTATTTTTTGCTGAAACGCGACCTCGGGCAACAAGAGCACGAGATGATTGAAACCTTGACGTAAAGGCAACCACCGCGAGGTGGTCCAAGCCCCGGCATGATGGTGATCATCATATTGTAATTGCCTCTTATCCTTACTTAGGAAGAGAGTTTGTCTGACCAAGCACGCTCTAGAAGATTTTTCCTTTCTACAATACAATGAGTGGAAATGCATGCCATTAAACAAAGTCATTATTGAGGAAAATTATCAAAAAAGTCTTAAACATATTGTTATTGTGTCAATTCATTCATAAACCTTTCAATTTGGCCAATTGAGTCCTAAACCTTTTGACAAGTTGTCAATGCAATTCATCTGGTCAATTTTGATTGGAACAGCAAGGCCAAGACTGGCGGTAACAAGGACAATATTTGCAATTTCTTTTCTTTTCTTTTCTTTTTTTTTTTCGTTCTTCCTCTACCGGTTAGTTCGTCTCAACAATGGCTGACTGTGGATGTCGATATATCCAATATATTTATTTCTTTCGAATATTTGGTGTAGCGTAGAATTAAATGAGATTTCGATTTAGGTTAAACACGAATTTTATAAGAAAAAGATATTGAGAATACAGGTCGTTCGGAAAATATTCGATAGTGAGTATTTAAGGGACATGAAATTAATATTTGTCTGTGCATTTGATTTTGGAGGGTCATGTGGTTGCTCAGTGTGAAGACTTTAATTATGCTTTGAAAATAGCAAAGCTATTATTTAGTGAAGTTGATGATTGTCTCTTAACACGTAGGATTTTCTAAAAGGGTCTTGTTAAGAAATACCCTCAAGGCGCTCCTTAAGCATGTTTACTAAAGAGATATGCGATATTTAAAGGATTATTTATGCATATCAGGAGAATACTCAACACATTGAAAATTATAAAAAATTGCAGTATTTCCTTATTAGTTAGCAAGTGCCTGGAGGGCACTTTTCAAATAATTTTTTTTTAAAATTAGTGCCTGGATGCACTTATTAAGCAAGTAATTAAGAAAATGTACAGATTCAATGCAATGCTAGTGCTCCTGTCCATGCTTCACATGGGTTCTTATCTTTAAATTTATTTAAATATTTATTCATAAAAAAAAAACTTCATATTACACTTTTACACCTTCGGCCTTCGATGAATATGATAATGAAGTCTATGATGTTGAATGTAGGTGAATCGATTGTTATTGTAACGCCCTCACCTCGGGGGTTATTAGTATAACGTCCCGTTCATTATTATCTTTGACTAAGCATAAGCGGAAGCAATTAATTCGGGATAATCACAATCAGAACAAACAACGGGGTTATAACAAGCATCATGAGCAAATCTTGTATTAATATGTAACATCCTTATCTTATTCCCGGAAACTAGGGAAAGCATAACAGGCAAGACACATTATTGCCATTTTACGTAAACAAATTTTACAAGCCCTTTTTCCACAAGCCGTTCCTACGTACAAATCATATCACAACGAAGGCCGAGGTTAATCCTAGCTCCTCTATGTCATCCTCTATCTTACAGACC